TACTCTGAAACCTGTCATAAGCAAACTGATAGATTAAGAAGGGATGGCACTGTACTCACAAGACAATATTGCCTTTCTTTAGGAGATCTTCTAACGTTAATTGCATGGATTCTAAACTGTGGTTTCTTAGCCATTCTTCTGTGGTTTGCACCTCACTGGATTGCATTTTCCTCTTTTGCACTCTCTGTAGATCAGAAGGAGGAGAAAAGTTAAAAGGTAGGGATTAGAAACAGCAAGTGTTGTTCAAATGTTGCCAGTTCTGAGGGATGGCAGGAAAGAGGTATTATTTAGTAATTAAATCATTGATACAAATCCACTTGCAGCAAGCAGGAGGCCTTGGGATCTAGAACAGAAGGAATGCTGCCTAGGGTGTATTATGGCAGACACCAAAGAAGGTGTCTGCTACATAGTTTCAACAGGCATTATAGTCTCTTATTTCCTCTTGGAACATAATAAATTAGACGCTTATTAGTAGCAACATACTAGTGCCCTTTTGCTCCTACGTGACTATTGCTGTTATGGGGAGTGTCAACAATTCACAGTATGGAAAGTGTTCTCAGGGGAAATGTTGCTCATAAGCAGTGGTTGCATTTACAAGGTGTTGCTGCAAACAAGCATCTACTGTGCATGTAATTCAACATGAAGTATTCAAACAAATAAATCACTGTGATGCCACTAGAGGTCACTGTCCCCCTTCATTTTCCTGTTTCATAATAGCTTAATTATTCATAGAATCAAAAAGAACTATAAGCTATTCCTCTCTCTTTCTTTTCTTTATTATTTTTTAAGAAATAACCAACAAAAAGGTAGGAAGATACAAGAGTTCTGTTGTTACATGGAGAAGAGAATAACCATTAATGACACTGGAGATGATTTTATTGTGTATAATATATACATTTGCTGACGTAAAGCACTGATATTCATGGAAGTTGATACCTAAAGTACAGAAAATTAGATACTCAATAGTATTTGCTCTCATTTCCTTCTCAATATAAACCCCACAATATGTGAAAAAGCAAACCATGGAGCAGAAGGCAGGTGAAAACTGCAGTCAGAAAAATCTTATTTTGTGAATTTAAACAACACAGGAATAGCTGATAAACACAGCAACATGTAAATTAAAATAATTATTATAATGGTTGACCTAGCTAGTCCAGAGACTGCCATTAACCTGAGAGTCTCTGGATTAAGTTTAGAAGTGTGAGCAACAAGGGTGATGTCATGGTGGGAGTCTGCTATAGATAACCAGACCAGGTGGATGAGGTGGACGAGGATTTCTTCTGGCAACTAAGAGAAGTTACTAGATCACAGGCCATGGTTTTCATGGGAGACTTCAATCACCCTGATATCTGCTGGGTGAGCAATACAGCAGTGCACAGACAATCCAAGAAGTTTTTGGACGGTGTAGGGGACAAGAAGTGAAGGATATCCGTGATAGTGATATTTGCTTACCAGAAGGTCTTGTGTCTGGTTGATGTGAGTAACCAGTAATCCATTATCGGGCTCCAAATCTGTTATTGTAATATCATGCCAGGATGGTCGGCCTCTCACTGGAACTGTGCCAGATCCCACGCTTACCCTACAAAATAAGTTTCAGAGTGGAAGCTGTGTTAGTCTGTATCAGCGGCAGTTGTATGCATCACTGAGAGTGCTGTCGCACTGTCAAATAGTCCATTTATAACATAGTTCATCATTACCCATAAGAATTAAACATTCTGGTTTCTGTTGAACAACTAAGAACTCTTATGCTCCATTTTAAGCATCCCAATATACATATGCATGAAAAAATGTAGTTTGCATCACCAGAAATGTATATTTCATTTCCATTTAAGCATTTCCCCTAAGGATTTTGCAACAACATCCTTACCCTACTTTTTCCAAAAACTGATCATTGTCCAGTAACTGAGCCATTTTTCTTGTTTGTGCATCCATTGTATTTATGACCAAAGATTTAACCTTCTTTAAAAAAAAAAAAAAGAGACATAGCATTAAAGAGTGGAAGTTTAGAATATCAAGAATAAAAGCTATGTATCAAGCATTTATATAAGATATCACTTTCCTAAGACTATAGTCCCACAGATACAAATCAACAGAAACCACGTACTTAATTATATTGCATGCAGTGCCTGTGACCAAGAAAATTAAAAAAAGAAGTGGAAGTTATTTGATTATTAATTATTATTATTATATAATGTACTTGGAAACCATTTTGCAAGAAGTCATTCACCAAGGGTTCTATCCAGTAAAATATGTATTCAAAATTGTGGAAAATTTTGTATGTTGGTCATGCAACTCTTTAAGGAGAATGGTAAATCCACCAAAAATAAGAGCTCTGCAACTGAGAATTAGACATAGGAAGGAGTTAGAGAGCTTATGAAAACACAACTCACTGAATCCATCTGACTTCTCATCACTAGAAGCAACCAAGAGAATTACTATAGCCTTAGGAAAATGAACGAGGAGTACTTGTGGCACCTTAGAGACTAACAAATTTATTTGAACATAAGCTTTCGTGGGCTAAAAACCACTTCATCGGATGCATGCAGTGGAAAATACAGTAGTAGGAAGATTATACACACAGAACATGAAAAAATGGGTGTTGCCAAACACACTATAACAAGAGTGATCAATTAAGGTGAGCTATTATCAGCAGGAGAAAAAACTGTTTGTAGCGATAATCAGGATGGCCCATTTCCAACAGTTGACAAGAAGGTGTGAGTAACAGTCGGGGCAGGGGTGGGGGGGGAGAATAGTTTAACTTTGTGTAATGACCCATCCACTCCCAGTCTTTATTCAAGCCTAATTTAATGGTGTCCTGGAATTAAATTATTTCCCCATACTTATTCCCCCCCTCCCACGGTACTGTTACTCACACCTTCTTGTCAACTGTTGGAAATGGGCCATCCTGATTATCACTACAAAAGATTTTTTTCTCCTCCTGATAACAGCTCACCTTAATTGATCACTCTCCTTATAGTGTGTATGGCAACACCCATTTTTTCATGTTCTATGTGTGTGCATATCTTCCTATGTATTTTCCACTGTATGCATCCGATGAAGTGGGTTTTAGCCCACGAAAGCTTATGCTCAAATAAATGTTAGTCTCTAAGATGCCACAAGTACTCCTCGTTCTTTTTGCTCGTACTGACTAACACGGCTACCACTCTGAAACCTATAGCCTTAGGGTTAGTTATGTGCCAGTTGCATCACCAACAGGGGCATGCCTGTTGCTACTGTCACAGAGGCAATCTGCTACTCTGGTTTTATGTTTCTTAATGCAGATAAAGGTATTTATTTTTTAAATTAATATTTTTGCCAGGATATTTAAGAGAAAACCAACCATTTAAATGTATTCTGCTTTGGCATAGCAAGATGACACAAAAAAGTTTAGGTCTATATGTCTAACTTGCTTGTTTAGTCTGTTTCTGTTATACACTGAATACTGTACAGACAAACAGTTCTTTCAGTGGTTTACAATTTTCAGGTCACTCCTGATTTGGAACCAAAAATTCTCCTTTCCCCTTTTCAATCTAGTTTTATCATTTACAGAGCATAAATAATTTAAAACTAACATTTCAATCTTCTTACAGGCTCTTTATTCAAACTCAGTTTACACATCTTCAAGTCTCTTTTCTGTTATATAATGACGGTCCCCTGCCGACCCCATACAGATCAGACTCAGGCTAAAAAAATAAGACTGAGGGTATGCTGCCAATATGAAGCACAAATGCAATTTTTTAAGGATCTTAGATGTCATCAGACACCCAGGCCAGCACACTAGCCATGGGTACTTTGGGTTTATCTTTTGGTTGGACTGTCCCGTGTAATTCAATAACAATGGCAGTTTAACTATTTGAGAGACAAGTTGGGTGAGGTAATATATTTTATTTGACCAACTTCTGTTGATGAGAGAGACAAGCTTTCGAGCTACACAGAGCTCTTCTTCAGGTCTGAGAAACTTACTCGGAATGGCATCGCTTAATCCAAGATGGAACAGATTGATAAGCGTAAGTAGCTACTGGATTTGTAGCTTATGATAACAATCTATAACCTACTAATAAGCCCCCACCAGCTAATTCCCCCCTTCCTTTCCTCCCTATGACTGGGGAGAGGTGTTATCAGGCCACTTCACCTTGATTGGCCCCTTGAAACGTGTTAATGACTTATGCTAAACTCTCTGTTCCACCTTGTATTTAGCTGTGAGTAAATTTCCCAGACCCGAAGAGGAGCTGGAAAGCCTGTCTCTCTCACCAGCAGATGCTGGTCCAATACCAGATATTCCCTTACTCACCTTCTCTGTCTCCTCTCCTGGCACCCACACAGCTCCAACCACCCTGCATACAATGTAACCTCAGTTAGCGTACAGCCATCCACACCACTGACTATCTGCATTAGATCTCATCTGACATTTCCTCCCGCTGAGCAAAGACCCGACCCCCAGGGGCCGGACACCCCCAGCGCCGTCAGCGGGAGCGGCGGGCGCTCAGAGCGGCGCCGGAGCCGGGCCGGGGCAGCCCAGGCGCCCCTGAGGGGACTCGCGAGCTGCGCAGCCAGAGGGGGCTGAAGCATTTGAACCTGGGCGGGCGGGCGGGCGGGCGGGCAGGCGCGAGCCCGTTCGAGCTCAGCTCGCCCCGGCTTCTGCAAGAGCCCCCCGCCGCTGGCAGCTTTTCGGCCTCACCCGCTCCTCTCCTTCCGCGGCTGGGGCCGGCCGGCAGCCGCGCCGGACAGGGGAGAACAGGGCAGCCGCCGCCGCCTGCGGCCCAGCTGTGTGTTACCGCGTTGCTAAGAGAAACGGGAGAAACTATTCCCCGCCCGGCAGGGGCCGGGTCCCCCCATGCCAGGTAGTGGTACGGTCCCCTGGGCAGGGCTGCGGCGCTGCAAGCCGGCCAGGGTGGGCGTGGAGGAGCCTCGCCGGGGGGGCTGGGGGCGGCTCTCCAGGGCCGCCTCCAGCGGAGGCTGCAGCAGGCGCCGCTCGCAATTAGTGCAGACGGGGCCAGGCCTGTCGTAGACAATTTATTTTGATAAACTTGCTCGATAACAAAAATACAATGAAGAAAAGTCTGTTCGTTTGCGCAGTCCGTAGAGGCAGGTGCCTGGCCACCAGCGCCTGAAGAGTGTCCGAGGCTGGGGGAGGAGGCCGCTGCAGCACAGACTTCCCTGCCGCCCAGGAGCAAGGTGACCGCTAACGCCGAGGCCGGACGAGCGAGTGGCAGACACTTCTTGCCTTCATCTCTTCCATCCTTCGCACCGTTTGCAGAGGACAGCCTAGAGTGGAGCCAGGGTTCCTGGTGAATGGGCATGTCCAGGGATAGGCTGCAATGCTTACACAGAGGCTCTGAAACAGCAGTACCGGTCCATGGAGTCGAGGAGCCTAATCCTGCCGCTGAGCGTGTCACTCAAGAGAAACGCCCATTGAAACTAACCCAAAGAGTTCTGCTTGAGTAAAGGCAGGAGCAGGATTAAGTCTAGCGTTGTTACACACTACCAGCACTTTGGACCAGTTGTTAAATGCCTAGACGCTCAGCAATGAAAGTCAAAGGGTGAATGGGTTTGTAAATGCTTTCGGAGAAACACACTGCTCCACACAGAAACTAAAAAAGCTTCTAGTGAGTTATTCCTTCTGTCTCCAAGAAGCGTTATACAGACACATTTACAATTTTCCTTTTTAAAGTATTTTAAGTTTCTGATTAGGACTTGAGGTTAACCAAATAAAACTACAAAATGTATACACAAATTGCATTATGCTGTGACATTAAACCTTTCAGGTGATAATGAAATGAAGATTAAACAAGAGTGTGCTGTGATTTATAATAGAATAAGCTGTCCTTCAAAATATATAAAACAGCTGGCAGAGTCTGAAAAGTTTATGTAAACAACAACATGTAACATGGGTTACCACCTTTGGAGAAGATTCATACTGAAGCATTTGCTTTAATGAGTTGAAAGTCTACAGATGTTTAGGCATGTTCAACAGGAACTTCCTGTAGTTTAAAAACTAATCCTTGTGCAAATAAAACCTATAAATAGTATTCAGCAGATTTTACAGTGATGCTCTTAGGTATGAAAAGAATGCATACAACTTTAAAACAAAATGACAAATTTGACAAATGATTGCACCATAGAACAGTGTTTTATATACAGTTTACAAGATATGATTTTCTGCTATAAATTAATACTGTACTATATAGTACTTAGTGACCTTATTAAAAAAGCAACTATTGACAGCTGTCTCTTTTCACTCACAGGGACATTTTTAATGCAAATGGATCCATCTAGTTGTAGACTGAAATGCCCAAATATTAACTAAAACAGTCTGCTAGCTGAAGCTATGCTGTCTTTCAATGATTCATAGGATTGGCTACCCACTAAGGTTCCAGCCAGCCATTCATGGACTGGATATGCTTCACGATAAGTGTTTTTTTTTTAATTAAATGGTAATACATTTTAAATATAAGCTTAAATGAATAATATTATTATACAGGATGTCACTAACTGAAATAAGTAAACATGGGGGAAAATTCTTAGCAGCTGAGAAACTCTTCCCCCGCCCCCATGTCTGTGATCCAGTTAAAATATTTTATGGAACTATTTACAATAAGACTGACATTTCTGAGGGGGAAAAAAGCTATTAGCTTATCAAATTAATTAGTGAGCTATGATTCATTGTTAACACATTATATCAGGCTATACCACCAATCTTATAATACTGTTGAAAACATTTAGACCCCTGTCCTGCAATTGGATCCACCCAGACTGCATCCATATACACAGCTCCATTGATATCAGTGAAGCTTTGGATTGCCTGTGCAGCTATGACTGCCAGATCAGAATCTAAATTAGAAACCAATCAAATCTGAACTAGCAGTTCTAGATGAGAATCTCGCTGTATATTCTTCTACTTCAGAAAAATTTAGAGAGACTTTGATGTGAAAGCTTCCTTCGGCTTGTGAGTGAACTGATAAGAGATATTTTCTACAACCGAGAGAAAGTGATCCAAAACATCAATCAGGTAATTTTTCCTCACTAAAATACTTCTAATGGCACACAGTTCAATATAATTGTATAAAGTATCTCATTTCTAACACTTGTTTCTGCCATGATAGCTGTTCTTTTTCCAAAATATAAATACATTTCAGAAGCAATATTATCATTCTTACAGAAAAATGCACTCAGTTTCACTTATGCCTTATAAAAGCATAAGTTTAAGTAATGCAGCGCTTTTCATAAGTACATTCGGACAGACACTTTGTTGTCAAGAGATACGTTTGTCAATACTTCCCCACAAAAAGATTAAATATTAACTAGGGAATAAGGGCTTGATCCTGCAAGCAAGCTTCCTGACACATCAATCTAAGTTTTGTGCTAATAAAGGTCAGATTTTAAGTGAATATTGAAGTATATAGCACTATTCATGGATCCAAGGTTTATACAATTCTTGTATTTAAAGAAAGTTGATTTCAGGGGAAAACTTACACTCTGAATTCAGGTGGTCCTTATGCCCACATTTTTATCTTCAACTTTAGTAAACAAGGCATATGGACATTAAAAACAGTTATATTGCTCATTTTTTGGTAAAGAAGATGAATTAACCTAATACTCACAAGTGAAAATAAATTCATCCAGCTTTACTACAGAACAGTGTTTTTACAGGTTGACCTAAACACTGAATGTTATATGCATTAGAAAAATTTACCTATGGTAAATTGCTGTGCTTGAACATGTATAAATAAATTCATTGTTAATGTAACAAACAAAGCAGTAGAAAAGAGACTCCCTGTACAACAGTTGCTAATAATTTAAATAGTGTCCATTTCCCAAAATTAGGATTTTAACTTTAAGGTATGACGTGATCTCACCTTCTACCCTCATATACAAATAAATTACCATACAAAGAATTTTAGCTTAACTTAAAATTGCACCTAGAAAGGCATGGGATTGTTTGTACCTGTTACAAAAACCTGTTAAAATCAAGGGCTGCTACAAAGAATGAGGTAAACTGAAGACTCTCAGGTATGTGGCCTTCAGAGAAATGGCTTTTTTCTATTGAGTTCTAGTTTTGCACACCACAGTGTTCTGCTAGCAAAGCATTCTGAGTTATCTTCCAGGAACTGTTTGTGTGTATATATACATATACATATATATATATATACATACATCACACACACACACACACACACACAGAGTATACTGCATCAGCAAAATATATATATATATGTATATAAATATAAAGAACCTCCCCCCCCCCCCCCAAAAAAAAAAAGTTTCTTAGTGTTGTTCTACAGCTGAAGGGGGATGTGTGTCATTTTTTTTTGTTACATACATTGTAAAGAACATATTTTGATCTATTGGCTTCTTGGTGCAGTAATGCAAGATGGATTCATTTTGGTGCCAAAGGCTTTGCCCATCAGAAAGAAGATGTAAAATGCTAATCTCCTAAATTGTGAGGCCAGCCTCACTTGAACTCCTTTGCAACCCTCTGGTCTACCACAAGGTTCATAAATACTTCGATTTTCAAATTGTTAGACATTAAAAACAGATACAGTAACATGGGGCAATATGCTTCTCAGTGTAAAGCATTCTTCTTCACTAGTCCCTATCACAGTGCAGACCTGACTGCATTAATATGCTCAGGAGATTAGTCAATGATGTCTGTATTTGGTTATGGGAAAGGCTCTCTCTCTCTCTTTTTTTTTAAATCCAAAGTGCATAGTAAGAACAAGTCAAAGCATTCCTCTTTTCAGTAAGCATTTGATAGTCTGATCTAGGCTTTCTCCTGAGAATGCAACTCCGATATCTTGCTCTCCTCTGACACAAACTCATGCAGTTCAGATATTCATCAGCCAGGTAAACAAACTTTGCCGGCAAATAGAAGTCCCACTATTGTAAAGAAAATTGATAAGACAAACAGTACGTATGAGGACCCAACCACTGTATTGTTGGGCAATTTATATGGTTGACCTCCAACTTCATTGATGTAAAATCCTATTGGAAATATTAGGGCTGCCATGCAGAATAGGATCACTGCAAAACAAACAAACAAAATCAAGTTAGCATCTTGTTGAAAGTCAAAATGTTTGCCAGTTTGTACGGCAAATACTGAAAAGAGTGAACAAATATCCTTCTGTTGTTAATACAGAACAAAACATGGTCTGAGGTCCACCAATGCCTAACTCACAGGAAACTGATCATGTGGGACATACCCTGATCTTAACGGATCCCTGCTCTCTGTTCCAGAGGAAGGTGAAACAAAGACTGAAGTTCCTGTCAGTATGCAATGGCACAAAGTTCATTCCTCGCCCCCAGTTTATTAATCATTTGAACTATGTTCACAAGAGCAAGAATCACTGTTAAAGAAAGATGAATTTTGGAGGACACATTCTTCCACCATTCATTAATCTAATCCGATCATCATGCCTCAGAGCATTTTACAGGTAGTCATTCCCCCTAAAAGTCAATGTAGACTAACGTTCAACATTGAAGAAACTCACTTTCCGTTATTGAAGAGTTCCCTTTTCCCCAAATGTAGTTGCCCTCTCCTATTCTGCCACACAAATCCTTTACACATTTTCTGTACATATTTTGATAACAATAGAAAACACAGTTGTGCGCCACTAGTTTCCTTTAGATTAATTAAAATAAACCATTGTTTTCTAAATGCTGAGACACTCAGCCTAGAGCATAAATAAAACATTCTGTTGAAATCTAACCTCCTCTGTAAAGGGCTCCAAGTTCAGACTGCACAAATACAGAGCACCAAACAATTGATTTTTTTTTTTATTTCACTTGCACAGTTATATAAATATGCATGGATGGTGTTGCTTACAACACATATCACTTTGTGTGGACACAAAAAAATACCAGTCACTATAAAAGCTACTTATTAAAATTACATAAGTGGTTTCACTCCTTCAGATACTAATATGGGCTGACATTCCTTGCAATACATTTTTACCCAAATCCACGACACAGCATCCAATATTGTCTAGCTCTGCTGACATCCTCTGTTTTTCTGTAAGTGCTTACGGCATAAATAATCTATTTAGTATTGATCATGGAGTCTGCAAGATACCAAGATCTTGACCAAGGCATAAAATCATGTCCTGACATGGCTTTTCTATGAAGCAACATGATTTTCTTCATGATAAAAAGATTTTCTTCACGATTGTTTTGACGCTGTATTTAAGACTATATAAATAGGTGAAAAATAGTATTGGGCAGATACAGAATTTTAAGTGGTAGAGTCATACAAGGCAACTATTAGGCTTTCTTTGCATCTGCAAATTAACTTTTATGCTTTATCTTGAAATACAATTATTTGTTGTGATTTAACTTTAAGAATTTCCAATACCCACTGACCCAACAACTAAGCCTACTACTTTGGGTGAAGAAAAACAAAAACCCCAAACAAACCTGCATTGCTCCCACAAAAACTAAGCCTAACTTACACCAAATCATCTTCCCGCCTTCGTAAATCAATTCTAAAACCTAGCCACCTCAAAAATCAATTTAACCCCCAATCAATTCTGCCTCCACCTGAATAAGAGTAATTAATGTAAGCTCCTCCCTCCTGCCAATCAATCAGTTAATGCTGGGCCTTACTCCTGTGTAGAGTACAGAAAGTCCTGTACCAAAGTTCTCTACACTACACTCCACTCCCAGCTGGTGGAAAGAGCAGTGGCTCCAGAGAAGCTCTACTCCTTACCTCACCTTCCCATCCGGTGGAAAACGTGTGGGCTCCAGCTGCTATGCTTCCTCAGCCTCCAGAGACAAAACCAGCAGTTCCCCATTCCCACTCAGCTCACAACTGGACAAGAGCTCTAGTCCCCCTAGATGAGCCACTGATGGGTTTGTACAGCACTGAGGAAAGTTACATTTACATTATCTATACCTGCTTTAATACACTTAGAAAGCTTCAGTTTGTCCAAATTTATTGCTTCCTGTCTGTTTCTTCACATATGAATGTTGAAAAAATCCCCCACTCTCTATGAGCCTTATGTGTATTCCAGGCAGACATTTTATTGCATCTCTTTAGACCTCAAATGTCTCTTCATAAAACTATGAATGCTAAAGTTCATGGCACATCGCTGGAGAAAAGATTTGTTGGTGTGTTTTTATAGAATAGCCTTTAAATTCTAGTTTAGGTCATATGTGCAATGACTTCAAACTGTTGCTCAAGTATTTGTGTATAACACAATATGCTAATTTAGCATACTTAGACCAAGACTACAAGAGCAGCTGCATTTCATGTCAGGACTGACATGCACGATCACAATGGTTCTCAACCTGTAGTCTGTGGACCCCTGGGGGTCTGCGGATTATGTCTAAGTGATCTGTGAAAGACTTAGACTGAAAACTGACTCAACAGAATTCCATTATATATACAGACAATAGATTTCCAAAGGGGTCTGCACTTCCATACAAAAATTTCCAAAGAGGTACACACCTCCATTCAAAAATTTTTAGGGGTCCGCAAATGAAAAAAGGTTGAGAACCACTGCACTAGACATGTGAAGCAGCTTACAAAGCACTTGCCTGCACTAGAATCTGTCTCTCAAACTAAAAGAGGACAATATTTAACTTAGTAATTAATATTCAAAAGTCAATAGAGCAGGGGTGGGCAAACTTTTTGTCCCGGGGGCCACATCTGGGTATGGAAATTGTATGGTGGGCCATGAATGCTCACAAAATTCGGGGTTGGTATATTGGAGGGGGTGTGGGCTCTGGCTGGGGGTGCAGGCTCTGGGGTGGAGCCAGAAATGAGAAGTTATGGGTGACTTTCTCCTCTTATTTTCTGGGGAACAGAAGCTCTTCTTTTTTTATGGTATAGGCAGTTCTGAGAGGTCTCCCACAGTCTTGGCTAACTGCAGCAGTAGTGACAGCCAGTGGGGCTTTCTGAGCAAATTAACCTGATTATGATTTGGATTCTGTGGGTCTCAGGGGATGCTCCATCAACAGGAGTTTTAGCCTGTTCTCCCTCAATTTCTTATACCTACTTTTAAATCCTGAGCTGATCTTACATTTGGAGGGGATATGAGTCTCTCCTAAGAAGCAGAGACAATTTGAGTGTCCATTGCTGCAGGAAAAAGACCTATGGCAGGGTCTGGAGCCAAGGACCCAGGATATAACCTGTTACTTGATGCTGTGGTCGAAGCTTGAGAAAAAACAAAGGCCTAGATCACGCAAATGAAAGGAAGGAAGGGGGAACACCCTCTCCCCGGAGCACAAGCTGATCTAAATAATAGAAAAATAAATAATAGTAATTACTAAAAGAAAATATAAGATAGGTAGTAAGCTCCATGGCTAGCTAATGGACACTATCAATGTTCCTTCAAATTTTTTCCGCCATGTGCGGAATACATGTTGTTATATGCACCAAGGTATGTGCGGATGTGCGCCACCAGTAGAAACAAAAAACCTACATATAATATATATATTTTTAAAGTTACCATAGGGATAATTACTCCAGCCAGTACAGGTTAGGCATTTTAGAACTTGCTACTCAAAGAATTACATTTAAGTGTAAGAGAAATAAAAATTATGAAATGCATAGACCAGTCAAAACGCTAAAGTAACACACTTTGAAAGAATAAAATTACAGAGAACATATGTGCATTGCAGGAAGTACCAAGAAATAACAACAACAATAATACTATTATGTGTTGGAAGATGTGTGTGAAAGAGACTCTTGTGTGTGTGTGTGTGTGTGTGTGTGTGTGTACACACGCACGTGCGCGCTGGCTGCTGGGGAAATCTCAGAAACAGTGCACTGTAGGCACTCATTCACTCACTGTTCACCGCAGCAGCTCCAAGTCCTGAGCCAGGCTGTCCCCCTGCTCTGTGGAGATGGGGTACAGGGGTGGGGGAAGGGGGACACCCTGACATCAGCACGCCCCTCCCCCCACAGCCAGTTGGAGGGTCCCGCATGACATGCGGGGAGGGGCACCTGAACACATGCTGCTGGCTGTGTGCGCTCTGCTAATCAGCTGGGCAGCATTTGAATTTCTCCTGGGTGGCCATGCAAGCGCACAGTTTACAGGGAATACAGGACACTCTGGTATTCCATCTCAAGCCACAGGCAGTTGAGTAGGAACTGGTGGCAGCTCTGCTTTTCCCTCCCCACATATACCCTCATATCAGAACATATCTAGAGCACATGGACACTGCTGACGAAAATCTCCACTCAAGTACACGGGCATGCGGACATCCTGAAGAGGAGCACCCATAGGGATGCTACTCAGAGAATCACCTTAATTCAGGACCCTTGTGCATATGCATTATGATCAGGTAATTAAAAACTGTATCATATGCTATTTTTTTCACAGGACCCCTGTCTCATTCAGTGCACTGGGTGGAGCCACTTTGGGAATCAATCAGCTTTGTGAAGTGAAGGAGACTTGTCTGTAGAACCCTACCTCATTTGTTGAGGAAATTAGAAGGTGTTCAAGTGTGCTGTAGTGGGCACACACTCTTCTGCATACCTCCACCCCCAAACTTGACCCCTTTTGCCCTGTCCTCTCAAACCTGTTCCTGTCCCAATCCCGTCTCTTCCCTTCATCCCCCAACTCCTGGTCTTAATCTCAAGAAGTTGTGTTACTACAACGCAAGAATTCCAATGGTATCTTAATAGGATGACAAATAAGTTTGGTTAGAAATAAAATAAATCTTTAATCAATATTCTTTCCACTTTAAAAAACAGCTCACAGCAGAAAGTCAGAGTGAATGGAGTATATATCTTTGAAATTTCTCTTCTTATGTCACTCTTTTTAAAAAACACTGGCAAATTGCAAGCTTTATGGTAAGAGGAATCTAAAGATAAAACAGCTTTCAGGACAACACACATTTCAGCTGAAACAATGACTACTTAGAAGGTAGAGATATTTTAAAAATTAAAATATTTAGAATCAATAATACAAGCCACAGAAGTTAAAAAAGAACTTCAAATAAATGAAACTGATTTGCCAAAAGATAACCCTTTGCCTTAGAGTTCGGAACCCAGCTCATCATAAACACTTTTGTAATGT